AGCCTAATATTACAACAGGCTGAACGTTAATTACTCCAAGAACCTCCTCTGCAGCTTTCTCATGGAAATGGTTTCACTTGCTGAAATAAAGAATGAATCTCTCATCTGTTAGTCCGTCCAAATTATGGATAGCTTCTCACTGGAAAAGAAGACACTGCTTTCAATTACAGCTATTTTTTAAAACACAATGAGATATTATTGTTACAGTAAATTAATGCATTTGTTATACACACAACAAAGAGGGCATTCAGATATTGGGTTATCAATTATTCAATATTCTGATGAAGCAATTTCACTCAAAATTACTTTTGACACATTTCTTTGCATTTTAATAAGTAGACTAGTCTTGCCATAGTGTGTTGAGAGGAGTCAAGATACAACAATCTTTCCATTAAGTAAAACACCAGAAGCAAAGGGCCTTGGAGGGATTATCTAGTCACTTGGGTTACTAAAAAAAATGGGTCATTCTTTGCTTGTGTAGTGTTTCTCTAAAGGGAAAGTGGGAAATTCTTGCAATGGTTAAGGTCGCATTTCTGGAGGAGCCACTTCACATCAGCTGCTTGGGGGTTAGTTTCACCAAAGCTCCAGTGAACTTTCCAATGCTGTGTTCAGTGTAAAATGGGTCTAAGATAAAGGGGATGTATGGGTGATGCATTGGTCAGAGATACGACAGGCCACTTAAGAGCTGCAGCAGCTCCCAACAAGAGGTTGGATAATATTGGTCAGGTGTGATCTAGGTGTATCAATACCTATATTCTACTGTGGGGATTTCTTAGGCTTCTGGGCTTTACTGTTTGCCATCTGGGGTGGGGAAGGAATTTATTTCCCCTTCTCTTATTGCACGTCAGGGTTTTATTTCACCTTTCTCAGAAGCAGGGTCTTGGCTACAGCCAAGGCTGAGGAGTTTGACTGGGCTGTGTCAATGCTTCTGCTGGGACGAAAACCCAGAGGTTCCTGGCTAGAGGGTCTTGTCTCTCCTTTCAGGGTCAGGAAGGAATATTATCCCCTGTTTGGACTGGTGTGGACTTGGGGGGGGGGGGGGGTCCT